AGTCAAGTTCTATTGATATCTATTGATCATTATTATAATATATATATATAATTACCTTTAAATCTATGTGTTCTTCCTCCAAAACTGGAGCTTATTTACAGTGGTTTTTCAGATGCTCCTCATCCTACTCCGAAATTTTCTCGAAGATGCCAACATGAGATAACATGAGGTCCGGAAAAGCTCGTCCTGCTCTATCCACTGGCCTCTGTGACGGTGTCCATGGGCGCAGCAACCAATGGGCTGTTGAGCGTGACATTCTTCGACAGTTGGGTAGTCATTGTGACCTGTGTTGACAGGTCAACAGCAAGCCTGTGACGAGGATGATGGTATGTTCATGCATGATCATATTGTCAAGGATACTTAAAACTACGCTTTATAAGACAACACAAGTCTATATACAATCATTGAGATCACATGAGATCACCAGGAAACGCTGCAAAACTATATGCGGCAAAACAACATGCGCTTAAGGGATCCTAATTGTGTCCTTCTAGCTGAAAGTCACCTTCGTTTAGTCCTTGAATAAGGGACCACCAAACTTGGCTTTTTATTTTCTTTAGATATAGATATATATATATATATATATATATATATACGGCAAATGCCTGGGTTTGGCCGGGACCCGCAATGACGACAGGCGACGCATCATCATCATCATCATCATCAGAATTAAACCCTTATTGAAGATCTTCAATGAATGTAGAAGTTTAACGGGGCTGGGAGAATTAAACCCTTATTGAAGATCTTCAATGAATGTAGAAGTTTAACGGCGCTGGGAGAATTAAACCCTTATTGAAGATCTTCAATGAATGTAGAAGTTTAACGGGGGTGGGAGAATTAAACCCTTATTGAAGATCTTCAATGAATGTAAAATTTAACGGGGTGGGGAGAATTAAACCCTTATTGAAGATCTTCAATGAATGTAAAATTTAACGGGGTTGGGAGAATTAAACCCTTATTGAAGATCTTCAATGAATGTAGCAGTTTAACGGGGGAGGGAGAATTAAACCCTTCTTGAAGATCTTCAATGAATGTAAGGTTTAACGGGGGAGGGAGAATTAAACCCTTATTGAAGATCTTCAATGAATGTAGCAGTTTAACGGGGGAGGGAGAATTAAACCCTTCTTGAAGATCTTCAATGAATGTAAGGTTTAACGGGGGAGGGAGAATTAAACCCTTATTGAAGATCTTCAATGAATGTAGCAGTTTAACGGGGGAGGGAGAATTAAACCCTTCTTGAAGATCTTCAATGAATGTAAGGTTTAACGGGGGAGGGAGAATTAAACCCTTCTTGAAGATCTTCAATGAATGTAAGGTTTAACGGGGGTGGGAGTTTAATATTCCCTGTAGTACATTTGTTGATCTTCCCAATTGAATGTAAAGTTTAACGGGGATGGGATTTTTATATTCCCTAGTACCTTTGTTGTTTTGTCCCATAGGAATTTAAGGTTTAACGGGGTGGGAGTTTAATATTCCCTAGTACCTTTGTTGTTTTTCCCATAGGAATTTTGTGAAGTTGCATCAGCATTTGTTTGGGAATGGGAAACCTCTACGCTGCAACGCCTGGGCAAAACCCAGGCGTTGCGCGTGTATATATATATATATATATTATATATTAGACAATATTAAATATATATATATATATCAATATATTACATATAATAGTATATGATATACATGTGTTTATTCCCAGCTTCCACAAAGTTTTCGGCAGAGCTTCCACGCACTGGGGTTTCACTTCCACAGACTATTGCTTCGAGTGGAAAATGGGAGCAGAGAAGACATGAGACAGGAGAGTTACAGACGCTTCGTAATTGACATCGACAAGGAAGGCAGAACAACAATCTATTCAGAGTAAATCAGATTTTCAGTCATGATACCAGGAAGTATGGACCACTGCTCTGCCATCTAGTCCTTTGGCACAACAGTTAGTTGATTTCTTCTGGGTCCCTTCTTGAGCGCTGTGTGGATCAGCATGCTCTACTCATAAGCTGAGAGATTACAAGCACGACATTGATGCATGAAATACAAGTGTATATACGCATAGATAGATGCTCTAGTTGAAGTTTCAACCATTTTCAACCAAACTCTGTTGCATCCACTTCTTTTCAAAGCATGTGCTCATCATCTTAGACATCTTAGACGCGGACAAGTCTCCAGGTGTATCAGGTGTTATTCACACATATTCACACCATGCATGATACTCTTGGAGCACCTCCACCTCCGTAGTGGCTGCAGGAGCTGGTAAAGCCAATAAATCCTCCAAATTGTACCTGGTGAAAAATACAACGCCATGCTGAAACGCGAAAAAAACTGGCAACACAATTTGCTGTGCGATGATGCGATGCCGCAATGCCTTGGACAGAGAAAATGTGAGGATTTCATGCCAGTTGATTCCAGTTGACCCGCGACCCGCAGGAAATCAACTCACTTTTGGTCCTGCCAAAGAGGAGCCTGTCCGAGCCTTCAGAATTCAGAATCATTCCACGCGTAAAACTGTGCCTCGTGTTTTTTTAAAATTGGGAGATTATCAGTGACTGCCCTTTCCAAAAAAAACTCTCAGAAAATGATTGGGTTTATCACATCTTTGCTGGGGGCTCCAAGTTGGGTTTTTGGATCGTGGAACCACGGTGATCCGGAGGTGTGGAACGAGTGAGATACCACGTTTTTGAGAGGTTTGATCCACAGCTATTGCAAATGTATACTAAGTGGCCTGGTACAAGTACGTACAACTTTTCATTTTTAGTTGTGGATCAAGGGTAATTCTGGATCATATCCCTTAGGGATGTATGTATGGATCATGGGAATGGATCGGGGCCTTAAATTTTGAGCCGCAGCCACATCTCAAATCAGGCACGGTTCCACAGGAATCATCCTGAAGTGGATGTGCAACTCTTTGAAACACGATGACTTGCTGGCTCTTCACCTGCTTCATCTTGCTTCGGAATCCCGAATTGTTTGTGTTCAACCCCCACATACCCCCACTATCTGCTCTTAGTCTTAGCCAACACTCAACAACTCACAACTCACAATGAGAACCTGGCGCCTGGAGGTATGTCATATTGCAATGGATGGTTGTGAAGGAATCAAGCCTGCAATTTGGATTTGTGGAGACTGCTAATTATAACTAATTCATATTAACTAATTCTGTATAAGTCAAGTCAGAATACTGTTGCGAACTGTCCTCTTCATAACTCTCCTTTCCTACAAGACTTGATTTGACCTCTACAAACGTGGCCCTGCCGCAACGAAAAAGTCGCTCCTTTCTCTTCACACAGGTTCTACAAATTGTCCTACCGATTTCAGAACGGCTTAGTTTGAAAAGGTTTTGAAGTTTTGAACATGACACGTTCAGAAACCCACAAACAAAATCGAACAACCCCCACTTAGATGGGCCATGGAGTTAGTTAACTAGTTAGTAAATGGATTATTTCATTGGGATATAGGGGGTAACAAATCCCCACTTACTAACCAGGAATCGCTAATCCCATGGCTCATCTAAGAACATGATCAGAAACTTCGTGCCAACTCGGTGCCAGTCAAGTCACCTCGAGGGAGAAGCGTTCGAACGGGTGCTCCATTGACAAAAACAGTGTGGCTGTCCGCACAAGCATACGCCCACAGATGGCAGGTCAACTAAACCTTTCAACCTCACCAACTAGGTTAGAGGCAAAACAAAGATAACTCTACTGATCTACCTATCATCATATGTATCTAGGAGTCTTTGGAAAGTGTGCTCCAAGACTTGCATCAAGTCCATGTGGTGAATTCTTGTACACGTTTGGCCTGCCATTCCAGCTGGGGTTCCACGCTTCGCAGGTTCTCAAAAAAGTTAATTGTACAGTAGTTCAAGAAGTCTCCAAGTTGTTCATTGCAAAGAAATGACAAAGAAAAACATGTTTCAAATGCCTTGACCACCTCTAAGATATCTCAACAACGTTGTCGTAACGTTGTACATCTGGCACAAAAAGGCCTTCTCGTTGGCTTCTTGGATTCTGCCTGCTCAGGGCCTTGGATAATACTCATGTTAGCCTGCAGCCCGTGCATTGCTACAAAAATCGGTGATACGCCGAGCACTGTCGCAAAGCACTTGCTAGTAGCATGCCGCCCATGGGTCAAACCACTTTGCGAATGCTTAGGTGTTCCATAGCTTGACAAGACAAGGACTAGCGTAAGTTGGATCGATTTTCCCACTTTCCTTGAACATCATACACGCTACAATCACTTCAGTAGATATACCAAGATCATTGAAGATCTCAACTCACATGCATCAGACCTCGACAACTCCAGACCAACTCTGCAACTGATATGGGCTAATAATGGATACCCTCTGGTAATTTAACGTAGCTATTGAAAATGGCCATCTATAGTGGATTTTCCCATTAAAAATGGTGATTTTCCATAGCTATGTTAAATTACTAGAGGGTAATACTGATGTTAGGATTCTCAAGCAAGAGAACACACGTCGGGGCCTGGACCAGGTCTTGGACCCTCTTGGCATGGTGGCGTCTTCAAACTTAAATGCTGAATAAATGCTTAAATGCCGTTGCAGTAGGGCACTACGCCCAATTATACCCACAATATCCCACAATTTCAGCAGCAACCAAAGCTGCCTCAGATCAGAATGGACCCTTCTGCTGTGCAGGAAACAAGCAGAAAACTGCTCTTGTGATTTCTTAAAGAGTGTAGAAATCAGTCTGTGATTGCTCATTCGAATTCATTTGCTACAATAGAAAGGGGCCATTCAATTTGCGGGTAGCTGCGCAACCTGCGAAGCACTTGGCTCAGCTATGAAGTTACCTCCATAAATGAAGGTCACCTGGCATGCATTCAATATGGTGAATCAAAAGCAAAGCGAATCAAGAGTCAGAGGAGCACACGGTCTATGGATGTCTATGGAGTCTATGGTCTACAATGAGAACACGCATATCTATCAAACTTCCTCGTGCTAATCCATGCCTTGGCCGTAGCATTTCCAGCTGCGCGTCATGCCCTGCATTTCATGCTCGGCGGTGCTCCTGGGTGCCCATCCACGGCCCATCCATCCGAATCCATCTCCGTTGCTTTGATGTTGCTTTCATGGACCCAACAGATCCCAACAGCGGAAGCCCAGTCCCAACTGCGGATTTCTTTCAGTTCTTAGAGCATCTTAGAACAATGTTTGATCGTCTTCAACCTGCTCTTGCACTGACAAAACGTGCTGTGAACAACAGACATACTGACTCTAAATTTGGGGACTTGCTAGGGCTGTGGCGGTGGCTTTTTTTACCTTGCGGTCGCGCGTCTTGTCCTGGGTCAAATGTGCGAGGCAATGAGCACTCATTCATGATCATTCATGCCTATCCCACAGTCTTTCACACTTCAGAAACGTTAGAGGATGTTGGCAGCGCTTAAAAGCAACAATAGGATCTGTACATCTGCACAGTGCAAAAAGGGCTCCAACACCGAGAAATCAAATCAAACGTCTTTCAACTGAATCCATATATGAATTGAACGCATCTCGGTCGAACGGGGCATTGAAAACATTCCAACCCATGCGGACTGGAAAACCTGCGCGACTGGTATGGAATCAACCGCGAAACCCAAACCTGAGGACTCTACAAAAAATGGCAACTGCCTATGTCTGGAGTTTTTCCGTGTCCTCTTTCAAATCTGGCAACTGCAGCTCAGCCTTGTGGAGCCTGAGAAGGATGGAAGGACCGGAAGGACCGAAGCGGCGAAGGTTTTTCGGCTACCCAAGAGGCGAGTTTTGTGGGTAAAAATCATCAGCATTGGTATGCCTTGAATTGCCTTGATATGTGGACAATATGCCTTCTTATCCTTCTTGGTTTCTTCTCGTGTATGCTCTTGCTATGTACCCTTTGAGGGCTCCAAGTGACCAACAAGCTGAGGGCAAACATGATTGAATTGCTCGCAGGATGGCTCAGGATCACTGTCAAATGATGCGCTGTTTAGCTGAGGAACATGATCCAAAAATCGGAGCAATCCTCCAAAAAGTCCTCAGACCGAAGGTTTGCTACTGAACGCACAAAAATCATATATGGCAATCCAACATCATTTGTACAGATTTCCCTTCTTCACCACTGAAAGAATACAGAAGTGCTGCTAGCGCAAGTCTCGTGTTTGTGCGTCATTTCTTACTCTTGACAGGGCAAGTCATTTGCATGTTCACGTTCCAAAGTGAAAATCATGATCCTGCGCGGCTTCTGCGGCATCCTCAAACGTAGTACGAAGATGTAGAGTTCAAAGATGTTCAAACCATTTAGGTGTTTCCTAAAATGAGGGTATCCCCAAATCATCCATTTTTCTTTGGGATTTTCCAATGTAAAACCATGTTTTTTGGGGTACCCCCATTGTAGGAAACCTCCATCTAGATTTGTTTTAAGTATAGTTGTTGCCAAGGCACCGCTGATACTTCGATGTGGTTCATGCCTCATGATTGGCCATCCAGATGCACTTGACGATGACAAACATGCCATCCCAACAACAATTCATTGGCATCAGTGGATTCACGTTTTTTTCAAGGATGTTTCTGTTTGCTGGCCGGGGAGATATTCAGCCTCGGATTTTTGTTTATTTTTTTGTCAAATTGGTCAATGATATGACATACAAATGCACATATACATATATACATTCATACGTATTTATATATTATATATAATTATATATATAGAGAGAGAGGGAGAGGTCTAATCTCTAATTATACACATACACATACACGTACATACAAACGCAACACACACACACCTACAATAATTCCTCGGCTGAAAGTGTTTGTGTGTATGCATGAACAACATGGATCATAGATCCGCACTTCTCACTATGGAGTCCTTGTATTCTTGCTGGTTTCACTTCAAAGTTGCCCATTTTATTTTCAAATAGCAAGAAGGAAATCCAGAGCTTTAGTGGGAAAATGTTGCATATATAATTATATATATATGTGAAAATATGGGATAATCAACTAGAATATAACTGGTAACCATATGCTATCTGAGAAGTTAAATCACTGGAGGCAAAACATCCTGGCCAGCCCGGCTGGTTTTAATCATGGAATCCCGTACAAACCATTTGTTTATATATGGCGTAAAACTTATAACCCAATTGCTAAGTTGGGCGCACATCCTAAGAGGAACCTCCTCAGTTGTATATTGGTTCATACACCCAGTTCAAAATATCCACCATAAATCACCAACAATATAGTTATCATATCCGCCAACGTTGGTGTGTCCACAAACCCTCGTACAAGTCCAGCACACCCAGTTCCAGGAGATCAGAGATGCAAGATGCTTCCCCCTCAGCGATTCGTTGCCATTGTCGGAACTGGGTGAAGCTAACATATTCGTAATACATCATGGTATACATAAAAACGCAATCCAAAATATATTCCAAAATGGGATTCTATAAAAGATACCATAGATAAAAATTGTAACACATGTGAAACATGTAATACAAAATCACATATGATATGGTGAAATGCCTGTATATACAGTAATGTCAAATAAGGAGTGCAAATTGTATTAATAGCATAAGAATCAACATATGTAAATATGCTGGATGCAACATGCATATCTGAAAACAGTAATCTAGAATAGTATGTGTATATACATACATCAGAAAGGTAAATATATTGCATATCATATTCTACCATGCAAAATATACACTTCAAAATTTCATCAAAGGAAAAACCATCTGGTGTCAAATTGCATCACCGTATGATACCTCATAATATCCAGGCACAATATGATATGAACTTCTACTTTGTCCAAAATTGAATGATACCATTTCATCAAAGGAAGTTTGAAGGAACTTCCGTGTTACGGATATTTATGATGGCCAAGAATGAATGGGATGGAATGGACTGGATTGGATTGGAATGGAATGGAATGGAAAAGAAATGGAATGGAAAAGAAATGGAATGGAGTGGATCCGAATGGAATGACATGGCATGATGGCACGAAAGCTTCCAGTTTCAGATTTTGAAGAATGTCTCGCACGAAGGCTTCGTTCTCACAGCTGCCAAATTCAAATGTTGAGGGATGTCTCGCACGAAAGCTTCATATTCACATGTGCCGTTTTCAGATTTTGAGGGACGTCTCGCACGAAAGCTTCGTTTTCACATTTGCCACTTTCAGATTTTGAGGGACATCTCGCACGAAAGCTTCATTTTCACATCTTCCACTTTCAGATTTTGAGGGACGTCTCGCACGAAAGCTTCGTTTTCACATTTGCCACTTTCAGATTTTGAGGGACATCTCGCACGAAAGCTTCATTTTCACATCTTCCACTTTCAGATTTTGAGGGACGTCTCGCACGAAAGCTTCATTTTCACATGTGCCATTTTCAGATCTTGAAGGACGTCTCGCACTATAAGCTTCGTTTTCACATTTGCCACTTTCAGATTTTGAGGGATGTCTCGCACGAAAGCTTCATTTTCACATGTGCCATTTTCAGATTTTGAGGGACGTCTCGCACGAAAGCCTCGTTTTCACATCTGCCACTTTCAGATTTTGAGGGACGTCTCGCACGAAAGCTTCATTTTCACATCTGCCACCTTCAGATTTTGAGGGATGTCTCGCACGAAAGCTTCATTTTCACATGTGCCATTTTCGGATTTTGAGGGAAGTCTCGCGCGAAAGCTTCATTTTCACATCTGCCACTTTCAGATTTTGAGGGACGTCTCGCACGAAAGCTTCATTTTCACATGTGCCATTTTCAGATCTTGAAGGACGTCTCGCACTATAAGCTTCGTTTTCACATTTGCCACTTTCAGATTTTGAGGGATGTCTCGCACGAAAGCTTCATTTTCACATGTGCCATTTTCAGATTTTGAGGGACGTCTCGCACGAAAGCCTCGTTTTCACATCTGCCACTTTCAGATTTTGAGGGAAGTCTCGCACGAAAGCTTCGTTTTCACATCTGCCACTTTCAGATTTTGAGGGATGTCTCGCACGAAAGCTTCATTTTCACATGTGCCATTGTCGGATTTTGAGGGAAGTCTCGCGCGAAAGCTTCATTTTCACATCTGCCACTTTCAGACTCTGAGGGACGTCTGGCACGAAATGCGTTTTTAAGAGATAGCGGATGCGCGAAATGCTGCGTCTCGGAAGATGGATGGGGAAGCTTGTCCGGCGGACGGTTGCGAGACGGTCTCGGCTATATGTTCGGATCATGCAGGTCGGAGCGGCCCCGCAGTGGAACTGACAGTTCAGGCGTTAACTTTCCTATATAGTTATATTGCGTTCTCTCTGCAGGTCGCAGTGGAACGGACGCTTCAGGCGTTGTTTTGCTGACATTCTCACGCGTAGTTCTAGTGTGTTTCGCAGCTCAGTCTCTGCAGATCGCATTGTGCTGGTTGCGTCAAGATTGCTTGGTGCCGCGGCTGCGTGCGTCATACTACTGTCTTTTGCAGCTGGACATCGTAAATCGTATTGGAGTGGGCTGCATCAAGGCTGCGATAGTGATTTGTCAGCAGGTTTTCTCAATTTTGGCGCTTGTGTTTTTCCGTTTAAGTGTCCTTTTAAAAGTGCTTCAAAATCGTGTGTAAAAATATTGTCTGTGTAAAAATCTTCTCTGTGTGAAAGCTTCTGTGTGTAAAAGCTTCTCTGTGTGAGGGCTTCTCTGTGTGAAAGCTTCTGTGTGTAAAAGCTGGCTGTGTGTAAAAGCTTCTCTGTGTAAAAGTTTGCCGTGTGTAAAAGTTTCTCTGTGTAATTGCTTCTCTGTGTAAAGGCTTCTCTGTAAAAGGGTTTCTCTGTGTAAAAGCTTCTCTGTGTAAAAGCTTGCTGTGTGTAAAAGCTTCTGTGTGTAAAAGTTTGCTGTGTAAAATCTTCTCTGGGTACGGGCTTCTCTGTGTAAAAGCTTTTGTGTGTAAAAGCTTCTCTGTGTGAGGGCTTCTCTGTGTGCAAGCTTGCTGTGTGTAAAAGCTTCTCTGTGCAAAAGCTTCTCTGTGTAAAAGCCCCTCTGTGTAAAAGTTTTCTGTGTGTAAAAGCTTCTGTGTGTAAAAGCTTCTCTGTGTAAATGCTTCTCTGTGAAAGGGCTTCTCTGTGTAAAAGCTTCTCTGTGTAAAAGCTTGCTGTGTGTAAAAGCTTCTGTGTGGAAAAGCTTACTGTGTGTAAAAGCTTCTGTGCGTAAAACATTCTCTGTGTAAAAGCGTCGCTGTGTAAAAGCTTCTCTGCATGAAGGCTTGCTGTGTGTAAAAGCTGTGTAAAGGCTTCTGTGTGTTTAAAATCTGTGTAAAGGCTTCTTTGTGGAAAATCTTCTGTGTAAAAGCTTTCTGTGTGTAATAGCTTTTCTGTGTAGGAGCTTTTTTGTGTCAAAGCTTGGTGTGTGTAGAAGCTTCTCTGTGTACAAGCTTCTGTGTGTAAAAGATTTTCTGGGTAAAAGCTTGCTTTGTACAAAAGCTTGCTTTCTGTAAAAGCTGGCTGTGAATAAAAGCTTCCCTAACTCTATGTAAAAGCTTCTGCGTGTACAAGCTTCTCTGTGCAAAAGCTTGCTGTGTGTAAAAGCTTCTCTGTGTCAAATCTTCTCTGTGGAAGGCGTGGGAGTTGCTTGCTTTGGCGCCGAGGTCCGTTTTGGAGCAGGTTTTGGGCCAGAGAGAGATGATTTGAGAGTGCGCTGAGAAGAGCTGAGATGAGGGGAGACGAGTTGACAAGAGCTGAGATCAGCTGAGTAGATGTGAGAAGAGCTCAGAAGATGTGAGAAGAGGAGGGAAGAGATGAGAACACATAAGATGAGCTTACATGAGCTGCGGAGAGCTGAGAAGAGTTGAGAAGAGCTGTGAAAATCTGAAAAGCTGAGATAAGCTGAGATGAGATGAGAATAGATGAGAAAAGCTCAGGTGACATGAGAAGAGATGAGGACAGTTGTGATCAGCTGAGAAGAGCTGAGAAAGGGAGAGAAGACATCAGATGGGATGAGATGGGATGACACAGACTGTGGTGACAGAGGGCATCAGGTTGACAAGTCAAGAGCTTGTTGCTGCGGTGCACAGGAGGCTTGCCCGTCACCTATAGGCACAGCCTTTGCTCCGCTCTAAAAGCTATAAGCGTTTCAATTTTGAAACTTCCGCCCCCGGCTTGTCCGGGTACTACTTGTATTACACGTAGATGAGTGATATAAACTTGTATACTGTACTACACTATACTACACTATACTACACTATGCTACACATCCTCTCAACTACTAGCTAGGGACTATAGGTATTTTCAGTTTAGACCCTTTTACCCGGGTCTAATTGAAATTTCCCTATGCAAATCGACCTATTTTGCACCAACCATCTCAGACCTACCATAGGGATCCAGCAGAGATCATCAACATGCTGATGTTGTATGTTTCTGGAAACTGGTAACTTCAGATTAGACCCTTGGGTGCTGGTTGTCAGCAATAACAGCCCAGGCAACAGCAACGGCAACAAGTTTCTCTTTTTCCTTCACGTGCTTAGCACATCTTAGCACTGTGAACTTCTATGGTTTTTTCGTCAAATAGCTTCAGGTGAGCTACTTTCCCTTGCGTGAACTTTTGAATTTTGGGGAATGTTTAGGTATAATTTCAAATGTTCAGGACTTAAGGCTCCTTTTTGGAGAAGGCTCTATGAGTAGCCCTGCTTCTGAGTAGCCCAGAGGTCTCACATGAATATCCAGGGTCTATTGTGGTTTGCTGTGTGTTTTTCCCCTGGGAAATTCAAATCCAAAGATAGGCAATTTCACCTTAGACCCCCAGGGTTGGCCAGGAAGACCATGACAAGCTCAGCGGAACAGAAGTTTGTTTTGGTGATGAAGTTTTTGGGTCGTTGCCATTGAAACAATAATGTTAGATGTATATACACGTTCTATTGCTTAACGCTGTGGTTTGGTTCAACAGTTGCTAATCATGTCCTTTGTATCCAGGGTCTATTGTGGTTTGCTGTGTGTTTTTCCCCTGGGAAATTCAAATCCAAAGATAGGCAATTTCACCTTAGACCCCCAGGGTTGGCCAGGAAGACCATGACAAGCTCAGCGGAACAGAAGTTTGTTTTGGTGATGAAGTTTTTGGGTCGTTGCCATTGAAACAATAATGTTAGATGTATATACATGTTCTATTGCTTAACGTTGTGGTTTGGTTCAACAGTTGCTAATCATGTCCTTTGTATCCAGGGTCTATTGTGGTTTGCTGTGTGTTTTTCCCCTGGGAAATTCAAATCCAAAGATAGGCAATTTCACCTTAGACCCCCAGGGTTGGCCAGGAAGACCATGACAAGCTCAGCGGAACAGAAGTTTGTTTTGGTGATGAAGTTTTTGGGTCGTTGCCATTGAAACAATAATGTTAGATGTATATACATGTTCTGTTGTTTAGCCTTGTGGTTTGGTTCAACAGTTGCTAATCATGTCCTTTGTATCCAGGGTCTATTGTGGTTTGCTGTGTTTTTTTCCCCTGGGAAATTCAAATCCAAAGATAGGCAATTTCACCTTAGACCCCCAGGGTTGGCCAGGAAGACCATGACAAGCTCAGCGGAACAGAAGTTTGTTTTGGTGATGAAGTTTTTGGGTCGTTGCCATTGAAACAATAATGTTAGATGTATATACACGTTCTATTGCTTAACGTTGTGGTTTGGTTCAACAGTTGCTAATCATGTCCTTTGTATCCAGGGTCTATTGTGGTTTGCTGTGTGTTTTTCCCCTGGAAAATTCAAATCCAAAGATAGGCAATTTCACCTTAGACCCCCAGGGTTGGCCAGGAAGACCATGACAAGCTCAGCCATTGAAACAATCATGAAGCACATGTACAATTTCTAAAGTAGACATTTTTTTACAATCAGTCCGATTATCATAATTTGACTTACGTAAAGGTTTTTTTCACAGATGATATATGCTAGTGTCATTTGGCCTTTTTGTTGGAACGCAGACATGCCATGCCAGATTTCAGTTTGCAGGAGTAAGTGGTGGCTGAGGGGTGGTGGTTCACTTTCTGGGTGGTGAGCTACTTTCCCAGGAGTAATGCCTTTCTTTATCCAAGTTAGATCCCTTCAGGGGTGGTGGTTCATCTCATCAAAGTTCGTCTCATCAAAGTTGATCAAAAACCAGCAAAGGGTCTAAGATGAAGTTCTCTACGAGTTAGGCAAAAGGTCTAAAGTGAAGTTCTCACTTTCCAGCATGTACATGTTGAGGGTCTGAGGTGGTAGCTGGCCAGGGTCTAATCTGATAGAAAACCAGTTTATATAGACCCTAAAAAAATTGAGCCCTAAGCACAAGGCTTCAGACCTTTTCGTAGTTGGGAGGATTACTACACTATACTATACTATACTATACTATACTAAATTACACTATACTGTACTGTACTATACTGTGCTATATGGTGCTTTGTTTATCAGTTTTGATGTTAGTTGGTATTACCTTAAATTATATCACATTACATTGTACCGTATTGGATTTGATTGTGTTGTACTCCTCTTGGTTCTGCGCCCGTCCTCCTTCCGTCCGCCTTCTGTCCGTCTCCTCTCCGCCTCTGTCATACAAAAACACAACAACTCTGCCATCCACAACCTTGTCACACGCAACTTTCTCACACACACAGTCACACTAGATAAGAATGGATCATTGTAGTGATCCGGCAGGAACTGAATCCTGTAACATGCAAATTAGATGAGAAACAAATTAAAGCAGGTACGTCGATGAGCGTCCCCATCGATATCACAGATGACACACTGGCGTCTTCGTTGGTGCCAGTCCAGTGTGCATCCCTGGCACCCCCTGCATTATTTAAAAAGGGAGAAGAGGGAAGAAAAAAGAAGGAAGTTTTACATCTATCCAGATGTTACACACACACACACACACCCGGCAGAGCCGGGGAAACCCTGAAAGGCAAGAGGAAGAAAAAAGCGGACACACGACGGGCCGACGGCCAAAAACAGCGCAGGGGGGGGGAGGGGAACAGACGGACCTCCGGAACCAACCTACACGGCGAAACGGACCTGACAAAAACAGAGCACACACCTAAACCCAACGACACACTACGGAGAAGCCAGCAGGAGGGTTATTAGGGACCAATGGGGACTAGTTGGTGAAAAAAGGAAACAACAAAACAGGACTCGGTTCCTAACTACCTAAAGGTCGTGCGTTATTCCCTTTCCGGGACCGTGGTCAAGTCTTGCCCCAATTGGTATCAACGGCTTTCAAGTTCCAGCGAATTAGGTGCACAACATGTTTCACCTTACCAGAAACCAAAGAGACCACACCTGCAGGAAAAGGACAAGCCTGTTGCCTGTTGTCTCCCATGTCATGTTGCATCTTAAAAGTTGAAGCTGCAGTAAAAAAAACAGAGTTTCTGATTGTTTCGAACGGCTTCACTCTGGTAGACAGGAATTTCGGCGAGGAACCCTGGGACCACAGGAGCAGCGAGACTCTTCAAAAACGGTGGATAACAGTAAGGTCATCTGTTGCGCATTACTTAAGCGAATTACCAAAGTAAAATGTGTTAATTCGGAAGTTAGTTCAGTCGACGTTCACCCTAAACAGGGTTGCCTCACTTGGCCCTATGGCACCATGTCGGAGTCACCATAGGAATCACACTAGATAAGAATGGATCATTGTAGTGATCCGGCAGGAACTGAATCCTGTAACATGCAAATTAGATGAGAAACAAATTAAAGCAGGTACGTCGATGAGCGTCCCCATCGATATCACAGATGACACACTGGCGTCTTCATTGGTGCCAGTCCAGTGTGCATCCCTGGCACCCCCTGCATTTTTTAGAAAGGGAGAAGAGGGAAGAAAAAAGAAGGAAGTTTTACATCTATCCAGATGTTACACACACACACACAACATTTTTCCACACAACTCTGTCGCACACAGCTCGATCCATACAACATCACACACACAATATTGTTACGCACGCACAACTTTTAAGAGACCAGCTTGAACAAAGAAAGTTGGTTTTAACAAAAAAGAAAAAACAAAAGCCATTGTGTTTCCCGATGTTTGTGCATTTTTGGGTTTGTTGTTTTGTATTTTAGTTTCCTGTGTTTTATCTGTTTGCACGGGTTTTGTTTTTTTTACATGTATGCAAAAAACCTTATTTTCTCTGTTGTTGGACACTCAGCACAACTCTGTCACACACAGCATTGTCACACACACGCACACACACAACACTTTGACGCACATTATTGTCACACACTCACACAACCCTGTCGCACACAACATGTCTTCCACAACTCGGTCACACACAACCTTGTCACACATAACTGTGTCACACGCAACCTTGTTACACACAACTATGGCACACACACACACACCACTTTGTTATATGATAAAGGTTTTTGTTATTATAGTACATTAAATGATCTCGGATAATACTGCATATTTTTTGTAGATTACATTGCATATATGGGTGTGTATGTATATACTACATTTTATATTGAATTACATTACATTGAAAACAGTAAACATCGGACGCATGCATTGAACAGTGTATGTACATAAGTATATTGATATACATTCATTTTTAAAGCAATGTATACATGTATTTACTAAATATAGTATGTAATACAAATATATCTTCAATACAGATTGCACAAAGTACATACATACAAGAAATACAAGGTATATTGCTTATATCACCCAATACACATATATTTAAATATACATATACAGTAACTATATATATATATATGCGTTGTAGTTGTGTGAAAGATGTGTGAATGATTGGGTGGCTTATTCTCATCAATGAGATGCATTGAAGAGTTGAAGCAGTTGACAGCTGAAACAGTTACCCTTGGGTCCCTGATCCGCAAACGGTTGACGCAACATAAATCATGCATTGCTGCATTATCAGAAAATCCTCTATGCACACATACTTCTAATATGTAGCATTTTAAGATATCATATGTGGCCTTAGCTCCCAGATTGCCATGACATGACTCTGACATGACCTGACTGCCAGTGAAACCATTGTAGGTTTTGCTGAGCACCCGAGTACCTGACCCGGTCCATGCTGTCATCCCAAACAGCTTCCTGGGTCGCACTTCTCGTGCAGAAAGGCCCTTTTAGTCATATCCTCTTTCCAGGTATATACACTTAGATCAATTTGTTAATATGTTGTGTACCTGCATCACTGCATCGACATGTGAGTGTATTTGTATATATATAGATACACTGGCCATATATCCGCCGACCCCGGCCGACAGCAAGGGGGAGCGCGCCAGGAGTTTCCGACTTGAACGCCGCCGCCACCACCACCACCACCAACGACGACAACCACAACAACAACAACAACAACAACAACAACAACAACAACAACAACAACGGAGCGCGCGTCTGCCGCCGACCCCTCCTCAAAATCCTTCAGGCTGAATGTGTTTTCTCATTTTTCGGGGTCCGGGGTGAAAAAAACGGACGATAAAATTGCAAGATGCTTTTTGGATATCATTTTGGGCACTTGTTGGCGGATTTTTGCTGTTTTTTTTTGGTGCGTGCCAAGAGCCACAGCACTGTAATTTACAGTGTTTTTGTGCCTTTGGCATGCAAGAAATACTTCTTGCAACATGCTGAAAACTGCGTAAATACAAGTCTTTTTGCTAGGCACTAGCCAAAGTGACAGAAAAAAACATCGTAAATACCGTGGTGTTGGGCTTCCGAGGCACAAAAAGCATAGGTATTTACAGTGCTTTTTGCTCCGAGAGTCTTAAAGAAATGAGCAGCGGTAACAACAACAACAACAACAACAACAACAAGAACAAGAACAAGGTACAAACAACAAGGTACAAACAACAAGGTACAAACAACAAGGTACAAACAACAAGGTACAAACAACAAGGTACAAACAACAAGGTACAAACAAACACTGGGACCCCGTTGTTGTTATTTGCCCCCCCGACAACAACAGCAACAATCATACATACCTTTTGTTTCCCTGCTGCTGGGACCCCTTTTTGGAACATCCAGACCGCTGACGGGACAAAAAGGGGTCCAGCAGCAAGAAAATGAAACGTCGGATCATGGAAATCCAAAACAGAGGCTGCCAGACCCCGTTTTGAAGGCCGCTGGAAGGCCAAAAAAGGGCTCCAGCAACTAGAAAAATCATAGTGATCCAAAGCGACCCTGCTGGGCCCCTTTTTGCAAGATTTCGGCTGCTGAGCGGTCAAAATGGAGCCCAGGAACCAGGAAGCTTTAACCTAATTCAAAAAAGGAGCAAAAAGTCTACACCAAAGTTCTTTTTCAAAACGGTGGAAAACTCCATAGACGCCCTCAAGGAACACCAAGCAAATTCCAAAATAAGCTCGGGTAGCTTGTTTTCAGGGCCCCGGTCTTTGTTTGTACCAACAACAACAACAACAACAACAAGAAGGTAAAAACAAACACTGGGACCCCGTCCTCACTAGAAGAAGAAGCACAAAAATGCGACAAACAAATGTGTGGTAAGATGGTTACAAGCTGCGGTATGAAAAGAACATCACACTGTGCTCTGCACCTGCGCGCACCAGAGCACATGAACAACACTAACGCTCACACTAATACACAAAACCCTTACTGCATCGCCGGTGTGCGAAGCTCTACAATAAACATTTATACGCGTATTCCGTATTCCTTTTCATTTCCCACGGCCGAATGCTTTCAATGAAGTATGCGCAGGCCGCAACACCGTCTCTACCACCACACGTCTGCCCAACATCTTGAATCTGCTTGCCCAATGCATCCGAACTGCCACACACTTGCTCAAGTAGCCTTGGCTGACGGCAACAAGGCATCCCAATGCAAAGGTATATGGGTGGTCTCTGAGAAAGATCAAAACAATCACAATCCTTTCATGTTTCATCTCACAAACTGGCTGTGACATGCTGTAACATAAGTGCAAAAATGGCCAGCTGTGCAGAAAGAGCTTGCGCACAACACATGTCACAAGTGCCACCTTTTGTCGTGTCACATGGAGCAATGAACCTATCTCACAGATTAAGGCAGGATTTGGATTGTCGGCCAAAGTCAAGTGAGGCCTTCACAATCCTTTAAAGACATTCAATCCCTTTACTTGCATTGTCACATCACTGAGTGAAGGTGCCAGGACTTTGGAAGGCAGCAAGTTTCTAAGTGTTCGACAGGAATTGCTGCCAACTACTTGCGAGTGTGGAAGCAAACGAAAACATAGAAAGATACTGTTTTCTAAAAAGGAAGGGAGTAATTACCGGGATTGAATCCATGCAAAGAGCTTGAATATTACAATAGGCACCAAAAAAACTTAACAGATGGCAAACAAATAGTGGCTCTACTATTCATCTGTGCAATCCAAAAGACGGAGACGCTCCAAGATCCAAACAAATAGTGGCTCAGATTGTCGGCCAAAGTCAAGTGAGGCCTTCACAATCCTTTAAAGACATTCAATCCCTTTACTTGCATTGTCACATCACTGAGTGAAGGTGCCAGGACTTTGGAAGGCAGCAAGTTTCTAAGTGTTCCACAGGAATTGCTGTCAACTACTTGCGAGTGTGGAAGCAAACGAAAACATAGAAAGATACTGTTTTCTAAAAAGGAAGGGAGTAATTACCGGGATTGAATCCATGCAAAGAGCTTGAATATTACAATAGGCACCAAAAATACCTAGATGGCAAACAAATAGTGGCTCTACTATTCATCTGTGCAGTCCAAAAGACGGAGACGCTCCAAGATCCAAAGATAGTCCGAACGCACTTTGCGAGTTCGGTTCCTGGCATAAGCACAAAAATCAAACGACTCAGAACTCCGAATTCTCACCATTACCAACCCAATCTGCGTGACCGAATTTCATAAGAGGTACATTATGTACACATGCATTCAGCATGTTCAAAATGTGGTATGAATCCCTGATTCTGATGCAGGTTCCTCAGCTTCGCGAGCTTCTCCACTGCATCAACTGAGTTCGTGAAAGGTTCAAATGTGCTGGCATCAAAGACTACATGTCACTACTTGACTTCCTGGTTTCATGTGTTTCGGGAAGCCTAGAGTAGTGCCTAGAGGCTAAAAGGCCTTTGCAAAGGGACGGAATATGACGGAATCTAAAACTAAGAGAGGCATATACAAGACATCACAAGACAGTACAAGACATCATCCTGTGACTGTGGTGTTCTACACTTCTGAATCAAACTCCAAGCAGAGTTCTCTCTCAACGAAGAATCCTCATGCTAAGATTCGCACGCGCAAGATCCTGTTTAATGCCTTGGGTGCTTTGCAAGTCAGACCTCTGACCGTTGACCCCAGCACTTCCATGTGATCCACAATGATTGTTTGGAAGAGAGTAGTTTGGAAAATGGCGTGCGTTTTAAACCGAAGCTCACAAGAGGCATTGTGCCGTCATCTATTGCCACTTCTCCTGTGTTGCCCTGTGTGATCCTAAAATACACGACATCGCACGTGGCACAAAACTCTGGCAAACCTTCAATGGTTAACCGGGGTGCCCACAAACAATTTAGTCAATTACATACAGGAATGTCAGGAAACATCATCAAGTGTTCTACCGCCACAAGAACAACAATCAAAAAAAACAACCGCAACCGCAACCGAAAGTACAACCACAACCACGATCACCACCACGACCACAAGAACCACAAGAACCACCAGAACCACAACCACAACCACCACAGCGACCACCACCACCACCACCATCACCATCACCATCACCACCACCACAACAACAACAACCACAACAACCACAACAACCACAACAACCACAACAACCACAACAACCACAACAACCACAACAACCACAACAACAACAACAACAACAACCACAACCACAACCACAACCAACAACCAACAACCAACAACCAACAACCAACAACCAACAACCAACAACCAACAACAACAACAACAACACAATTATTTCATCAACCACAACAACCACTACAACCACAACAACCACGACCACCACAACAATCACAATCGCCACCACCACCACCACCACCACCACCACCACCACCATCACCACAACAACCACAAGTACGGCCAAGGCTTCGTGTCTAGCACATAGAAATAAGCGCATGTGGTATCCCCTACATCACAAGGTATAGGAAAGTGTGACAACAGTCAGTGAACACCTGTCAGCTTTCAATCTTCGAAAAGGGCAACCCATCCCGGAACCCACCACACTGGAAACTCCGGAACCGCCACCTCCTCCTGCCACTGCCAGTGAGTGAACAGTACAGCCAAGGGCATACAACACAAACAGGTCTTAAAAGACATGTGAAAGCCATGGAACATCCAACTGTCACCGACACAGCCACTCAAACCTGGGACCAGGCCCTCCACCGTCCCCTCCAACTCTTAGCCCAGCGTCTTCCATAGAGCTTCAAATGCAGCACTTCCTAAGCGGTGGCACAATTACAAACAGCAGTTTCTCCATAATCTTCTCTAAAGTTAGAACAAATCCGCATGGCCTGTGCTTGCGATGAACACCTGCTACTGTCTTTATACGTGCCAGTTCTACGCATCCTGTGTCCCCATTCTGTGGTGTGGTCGCCTAGGCCACCAACTGTCCCATCCTGCTACTGATACCTACTGATACTGTACCAGGTAGCCACTGATGCCAACACCCCAAAGCTGGCCTAGACAATGCCCATGCCAAGTCTCTCATCACAAAGTAGCACAAAGTGTCACAAATCATCAGAGACAATAACCCCTTCAAGCAGTTCTGAATAATGTTGGAAGATGTTGGAAGCATCTAAATCATCTTAAGCATATTCATAACTTCATAACACAGCCAAATTTATACCCTGTTCAAAGCCATATTCTTTATCATACTATACACTGTACCACTAGTACCGCGCAAGGCAGTGGCGAAAGTCTCAAAGATAGGAAACTATAGGTGAGGTGAGTTGTTGTGATGCCTGGATGGCAGAGCGAATCCACTGATGGACCGAAGGGTGGTTGGAGCTGTGCTTTTTGGAATGGTTGCAGCGGATTGCAGCGGTCACCTCAACCACAACTGCTGGATGTAGTGTGGTGTAGTGTAGTGCAATGCAACTGTAGTTGTAGGTGTAGTTGTATTGTAGTGTAGTTGTAGCTGTAGCTGTAGTTGATGTTGCTGTAGTTGTAATGTTGTAGTTGTAGCTGTAGTTGTAGTGTAGTGGTAGTGTATTGGTAGTATAATGTGGTGAAGTGGAGCGTAGCGTAGCGTAGTGGAGTTGTAGCTGTCGCTGTGGCTGTAGTTGTAGTTGTAGTGTAGCGCAGTGGAGTGTACTTGGAGTGGATTGTAGTGGTAGTTGTATCTGTAGTTGATTTCATAGTTGCATTTGTATTTGTAGCTTTAGTCGTAGCTGTAGCTGTAGCTGTGGCTGCTACTGCTGCTGCTGCTGCTGTTGCTGCTGCTGCTGCTGTTGTTGCTGTTGCTGTCGCTGCTGTCGCTGCTGTCGCTGCTGTCGCTGCTGTCGCTGTCGCTGTCGCTGTCGCTGCCGCTGCCGCTGCCGCTGCCGCTGCGGCTGCGGCTGCGGCTGCGGCTGCGGCTGCGGCTGCGGCTGCGGCGGCGGCTGCGGCTGCTGCTGCTGCTGCTGTTGTTGTGGTTGTGGTTGTTGTGGTTGTTGTGGTTGTTGTGGTTGTTGTGGTTGTTGTGGTTGTTGTGGTTGTTGTGTAGTGTGGTGCGGTTGGACATGTAAAAGTGGTCCGAACGTGGTGTGTTTTTCACATTCTGACTCCGAAATGTGCTCAGGGCCACAATGGCGTGCACCTTTTCAACATCTCAACTTCCAAAGGTGGTCCCAGACTCTCAGTTGTTTAACACTTTTGACTTCCAAACGCGCCACAAAGACGTGCACTTTTTGAACATCTCAACTGCTCAAAGTGCTCCGAGAATGGTGTGTTTTTTCAAATTTCTTGGCAAAATAATTGATGGATCAAGATTAACGTGCATCTCTCTTGATCCATTGATGCTTTTGTCCAGAAATTCATTTGCCGAAATTTCCCGCTCAAGTGCGGATAATCCGTGCACATGTCGACAGCGGCCGAAGATTTGGTCGTCAGGCCACAGGATCCCCAGAGGAAACAAAGCTGCTGGTGCATTCCACTTCGAGTGCGTGATCGGTTTCTTTTCACATTTTGACTTCGAAATGCGCTTCGCGCCACAACCATGTGCACTTTTTCAACAAATCAATTTCCAAAAGCGCTCCAACACTGAAGTGCTTTGTGCACTTTGAGTTCCACATGCGCTTCGCACCACAACGCCGTGCACTTTTTGAACAGCTAAACTTCCAAAAGTGCTCCGGACGTGAGGTGTTTTTGGCTTTTGACAAACAAAGCTGCTTCGTGCCACAACGGCGTACAATTTTTCATCTCTTATCTGGCCAAATGGCTCCGCACCCGCCGCTTTAGCGAGCCTACTTTTCAACCCTCCGGAGTCCCAAAACATTGGAAAAACACATGAAAACACAGCGTTGCGCGACTTTTCTACCTTTTCGCGCACCTAGATCTTTCTTTTGTATCTTTCTCTTCTCTGATTTTCTTTCTGCTTCTTTTCTCTTCTCTGACTCTTCCCACCTCTGCTTTTTCATCTGTCCATATTGTCGGAAGTTTGACTTCTAAACTTCCTTCGATCATCGAATAACTTCCGGATCTTCCTGAAGGATTCTTCGACTCATTGGACTCCACTTGGCTCAGCGTCGTTTTGGCTTGCAAAGGACAGCTCCAAGGCCACTTGCTCAGCCTCAGATACGAGCTCCTGCACGGCTCAGCATGAGACTTCCTTTACATCCCTATAACATCCAAGCAAAGTCTGGGATAGTCTGGGTGATCTGGATGATTTGGCTATGTCCAAAAATGGTGGCTACCCTAAAATTCCTACTTCAATATACTTCAATGGGGAAGTGATGATTAACAACCCCCTGAAAGTCGGCCTATCTGGCAACAATGATTCAAAACATAATGATGGTTTTGGAGCATCAGTCCTCTGCACAACTGCTTGACTGACATCAAAGCGAAAACGACGATCATTGGATGAAAGCGGCATAGAGCCTTCAAATACTGTAGATCAAACATATACTGAAGGTATGGCAGTTATCGTATCTTTAGCAAGGATGAAACTCTTTGAAATAACTGAATGAAGACATCCCAAAAAATACCCAACCCCAATCCAGAAACAGCCGCGGCTGCTGTCCTCGACAATGACACAAATCTGTCCGGTGGCCATTGTAAGTTCCTGGCAAAAACTAGGTGCTATCAGATCGCTTCAGGAGGTTTCCCCCTGTAGCAACTGGCAGCAAAAGCAATGCCGTGTGGGCGTGAGGAATTGGCCAAACAGTGGGGTTTCAAGTATAATCAATAATATGATATTGTATTATAGTAAAAGTATGTAAAAGTCTAGATCATATTTTGGATTCTATTGCAACATTGAATCCCGAAAACCCACGGAAGTAGTCGGTCTCGATGGATGCCGTTTTTTTAAGACACGTCGACACAATTCCGCGCCTCGTCCACAGGCTCAAAGGTTTGAGATGCATTGTTAAGTCTACTTAGAAGAATTGCGCCTTGGCTTCGATGTCTCAACAGTTTTCCTATGTGTTCAACATGTTCCCGTGGAAACCCACAACATCCCATGGTATTCACTTGGCTGGGTGATGTTGTACGTAGGTGGATCAAGAATCATCAACGGGGCTGCGGAAGCCAGAACAATGGCTCAAGTCAAGACACCAAAATTGTGAAGATCATTGATGAGAAACCTCAGATCCGTCGACTAAAGGGGTATAGGTCAAGAGGCCTACAGATACATGTATTCGTTTTGTCTTTCTGCGCAGCCCCACTTTCAAATTCGGCCAACTGTTCCTGCTAGGATTAAAGCCCGACATTGCGACGCACATATCGTATCTGAGATATCACTAATTAATATAATCCAAACGTGAAGCACGGCTGTTGCATCAGTAGCTGGAAAAAGCAAGCGACAGTGCAGGAGCAACATCTGGGCACTTGCATTAACTGCAGCCAATATCCGCCACTGGAACTTGACGTTCTTCGAATCAATTGACTGACTATAGACATGATTTGGAATATGTAGACGGGAGATCCTCAAAATTCTGCCCACGAATTCTTGACAGTACAGCTCGGAGTGACAGCTGCCATATGGGTACCCATATCTATCCATGACAAACGAAAGAAGAGAGCTGAGAAGGCCCAGAAGCTTGCACTCAGAGATGCTGCCCAAGCAATTGATATCACACTGAGAGGCCGAGGCCGAATGATTTGATGAGAACGAAACCTGGTTGCGACATGTTGCGACTGGTTGCGAGCTCTTCCCAGAAAAGAACAAGGATTCGAAGTGACTGCAGAATTACAGCATATTACAGTATATTACAGTATATTACAGTATTCTGATGCGTTGTATAATGTTGGATAAACATGGCATGACTGGTTGGTGGTTGACCTACCCCTCTGAAAAATATGAGTTCGTCAATTGGGATGATGAAATTCCATGAAATTCCCAACATATGGAAAGTCATAAAATTCCATGGTTCCAAACCACCAGCCAGATGATCTTCCAATTTGGCTGGGAATCATACCACATCAGGACGGACTCTATGCCCCCAGATCCCCCAGTTTCAGGCAGCACAAACACACCAGCTTGTCGTGCATCTGTCTTGAATCAGCATGAAAGAACATAAAAATGGCGCATAAATGGCTCACAGATAGCTCATACCAGAATCAAACCAAAACGAAAGGTGCCAACGAAACTGTTCTTCCAAAGGGCTCTGCTGCCATCGTCACGGAATTGAGTGCCCACATCGTCGGAGATGTGCGTTGAGGCTTCAAGGAGGCTGTCCATAGAGACCTTGGCCCACGGCGAATAGAAGACAAAATCAGATCGAGAAGGCACGAATATTTCATCATACAATCACGGCAGAAACAAAAAACGAAGACAATTCATTGATATCAATGAAATTGAGTTAGATGATGGTACCATATGGTACCTACAAATCCTGGTGTTTTCCTACCTATGTCGACATCACATTTCTGAAATCGCCCAAGTTTTTCAGCTCCGTTTCGCCGCACCTTGCAGCGGGGTAGCTCAAGCCCCGGAGGAGGACCGTATCCAAAACCGGGAGGGGGCATCACCTGCGAACTACAAATGCTACCGTCAGGTAAGTTCTCTTGAACGAATTGTTGTGTACACAAATCCATCTTTTATATACACAGAATTACACACACATGTTTCTAGAATATAGTCTTCCATTATAGATATCTAGTATAATAAGAGTATGTGTGCACGATCGAGTAATAGTATATCTAAAAACAAATAATAACTAAGTATATAAGACCATGTAAGTATAAGATTATGTTTTCTTTTACGAGTATTGGTCTATTTCATCACCGCCCACAAATCTCCTTGGACTGAACTCAATCACTCCTTTGTGCTTCACGCCTGTGCGGCTTCAAACGTTGGTTCGCGTGCTTGTGCCTGATTGAGCACTGCCTCCACAAAACCAGGCTGCCGTTGCCACATGCAAAGATCAACAAAATCATACAAAATCTACACTAGTCAGACGCTAGAAATGTATCAGCAACGTGACCTGCCGCTACAAAGAAAAGGCTGTGGCCTGCCGCACCCCCATGTTGTTGAGGAGCGCCTCGTCAAGTCGCAATGCCTGCTGGCAAGTTGCGGAACAAACGCAGAGTGATGCAAGCAGTGAATGCAATGAACGGGTGCTTTGCAAGGCTCTGCCGCCCTTCCTTGATGGCGCGCTGTCTATGCAAACATCAATCTAGCTAAATCCTTCAGCAAGACCCTATGGTTGCCCGGACTCCCCATGAGTGTTCGGGCAAACCAAAAACTGATGATGATGATGATGATGATGATGATGATGAAGACAATGATAATGATGAATATTATGAAGATAAAATGAAGATAAAATCAAGATAACATGAAGACAATGAAGACAATGAAGATGGTATGCTTGTTTGTTCCATGGGGTGGGAGATTTTACATTTTTTCAAATCCTGAAAGAAACCCTAATTGCTGCATAGCCAATTGTTCCATAGGAGGGTGGGAAATTTTACATTAGATTTGCTCACTTCGTCCCCACGCAACATCATTTGTTCTTGTTTGAGGCCGTCAGAAATTCATTGGCTTTCTTGGGCAAACCATTGGGTCTGTGCGTAATCCTATTTGTATGTGTATGTATACATATATATATATATTATATATATATTATATATATAATCAAGTTTTCTGTATATAATACTTACTTGGTTGATGGTCAAGTTTTGACAGGCCAGTCCCATGAAAAAATAGACCCCCTCTGCCTCGATCATCCTCAAAGCGTTGGAGCACCGAAGCCTGACATGGTCAGGCAGCCTGCCTATCCTGGCGAATTGTATTCATTTGTATTCACTATGAAGCAGTAGAAGTGGCATGGAACCACACCTCTGAGTGCAGTTGCTTTGAGGCTGGTAGGCACGGGACCCTATATATCCCTACATCAACTAAAGATCCAAAGCTGTTCCAGCTAGAAAGCCAAGACCAGTTTGAACATGAAACGAACGTATAGATACTCAAACAAGAAAGGGATCACTACTATTACTCAATGTTGCTGGGGAGTTCAGTATTTGGGAAGGGGTTCGCCATTTAGTTGGGGGGGACTTCATATCCTTGGGATTGATTCTTCCTGACGCCATAGGACACAAAATTCTTCAATATTGATAACCTGTCCCAGCGCCCAACCTTCAGTCACAAGGTCTTCCACGCCGGTGGTGGAGCCTCAATTCATGAGATTTCAGTCAGCAAATCTCTGACAGAAACATATGAAGCAGATTTAATCGACAGAAATATCGACATAAAGGGGTTAAGTGTTGGCTAAGTTTCATGGCTTCATATTGTGTCTGGGCTTGAATATGCCGAAAAATGCAAAGCTGGGTACAGTGAGGGTCCCCAAACTAAGATGAGTTGGTTTATAACTCGCTTGCACATCACCACACTCTACATTAATGGTCTGAAAGCCAGATTGTGCACGACGTGAAGTGCATCCAGGGCGCTTCAGATACAGCTGCGCAGTGACAAGTTGACACAACCACGCAAACACCTTTAAATCTACAGGTGCCCAATGAGCCGAGAAGAGCAGAGACCAGACAGGCGGTTCCAATTATTGTGATTTTGTTATCTCGGCCACGCTGAACAGCGTTGAACTCAAGAAATCATGCTGAAAATTGTTGGAGCCTCCACTCCCTCCACTGCCCCAAGACGCACCCCAGACACGGCGTATTGAAGAGGCTGTCTGCCTAAGCATCGCACCACTGTGGACAAAAATCCACCACCCATCCGCACATGCAACGGGCGGTTGGTTGCTTCGAAGTCCAAAGGACAAGAACGCGGGGCTAAAATACAGGCAGCAACAGCATCCAATCATGGAATACGAGTTAACTTACTCTCTTGTTGAGCTTACACCGGATAATTGATCCAATTTGGATTCATCATGATTCATCATTATTGTTCATCTCCCAATGCTACGCATGTTTATTTGATTTATATGCACGTCCCTTGTGGGTTTGTGGCAAAGATCGAAAACAATCAGCAACCAGGCAATCAAACATCGAAGCCATCCATTGCCAAGGCCATCGTTCCGATGGGTCGGACCCGTGAACCTGCGGAAAAACGGCATCGCGGCATCAACAAAACATGTTCCAAAAACAACCCCCTGGAATGGGCCCACACGAACAAACAACACATCCAAACAATTTTTTGATATATGACTGTCACCAAAGAATGAATGAAAACACTGGCTATACGCAGTGATTTTGACTTTAAGTTTTCAGGATTCAGGGTTTTAATTTAGGTTTTAGGTTTTAGGCTTTTGGTGTTTGTTGTTTTGGAAGCAAAAACTTGAAACCTGCGCAGGGATTTTTTCGCATGTCAAAAGATATGGCGGCGCGTTTGAATCTTCGCCATGGCCAGCTCCAATTTGATGATCACAATACCCTCTGGTAAACCTACAAAAAACTATTGAAAATTGCCATTTACAGTGAGTTTTCCCATTAAAAATGGTGATTTTCCATAGTTATGTTAGTTTACCAGAGGGTAACTGGGCTCATAATCATCCCACGATTGTTCAGATAAAGATATTGGGATAGTGTCATATTCATTTCAATATCGGGACATATCGGGATATACAGTACCAAAACATACCGATAAGATGGGGATATAATATTGTTTAACATTTTAAATTGATAATATTGGAAAATCAAAAAACACAATATAGGACCAGTTAGAATAGTTAATAACATTGGATCATTAATGCTATAGGGTATCAATATACTATAATGATTGTTTGTTTTCATAGTATATGATACTATTTAATTTGACATGTCAATGTATGAAATTATTACTTTTTCATCAATTAACATTATGTAATAGCCCCAATAAACATTGGTTTAACATTGGTTTAACATTGAATCAAAAAAAACTTATGCTAATAATGTTTATTGATTGGTTGATTGAATCATTACTATTCATTACTATTATTACTTCAATAAAACAATCATTAAATAGCCCCATTTCATAGGTCCCAATGGATCAGGGCAGATCTCCCGGCCTTCAACTCATGTCCAGAGGCCTCAGGAAATCGAGGCTAGGGTCACTGTTCAAAGGTTTATAATTATAGTTCGAATAAATAGATATAATAAACAGTGATATGATAGTATATAGATAAACAGTGATCTATAATAATTATAGATATAAAATAAATATATATTATATAATCATATATAGATATAAATAGTCTAGCTATGTCAAATAAATATGTTAAATATATATATAATATAATTTGACATTTCAGAAGCATTCCGAAAGAACAAGTCATCAATTCTATCTACCTGTAAATGTTCCTGTGAACCACAAGACAGTGGGAACTTGCCAGCTTGGGAATTTCTCAAGAGCCAAACATGTCAAACCAAGAAAAAGGATCTGGTGAATCATCGGCACCTATAATTTCGGTGCGAGATGAATAGCATAACTGGCCAAGTCAGCTGTTGGAGTCTTGCATGATAGGATGAGGATGGATGAGGATGAATCCGGGTGGTGACTTTCTTTCTACATTTGGCTCGGAATGGAAGCCATTGTTCACCAGCTGCAGCAAAGCTGCAGTTCGGGCGGCCCTTTTGGCCGAGCCTACGATTGAACCAAAATGCATGGCAAGACGGGTACCACCAAGACTGATCACCCAGACTGACTTAGCAACAGCACCAAAAGGAGGACTGACAGCAACATGCACAATTACTTTACTTCGAGTGATCCCCACCGTGACATTATTTTGTCATAGTCTCTGACATCTCATCTCGAAGTATATATATAGCATGTAAAAATAATATATGTGTTTGATATTCTATTCTGGCATTCTATCTGACATTCTATTCTGGCATTCTATCTCGGACATCCTATTTCGCATCCTTTCTGGCATCATTTGACATGTTCCCGGGCATTCTATCTGGCACATCCTATTTCGCATTCTGGCATCTATTCTGACATGTTCCCGGGCATTCTATCTGGCATTCTTTCTGATAATCTCTCTGTCACCTATTCTGACATTTCTGGCATCCTTTCTGGCATCTATTCTGACATGTTCCCGGGCATTCTATCTGGCATTCTTTCTGATAATCTCTCTGTCACCTATTCTGACATTCTTTCTGGCATCCTTTCTGGCATCTATTCTGACATGTTCCCGGGCATTCTATCTGGCATTCTTTCTGATAATCTCTCTGTCACCTATTCTGACATTCTTTCTGGCATCCTTTCTGGCATCTATTCTGACATGTTCCCGGGCATTCTATCTGGCATTCTTTCTGATAATCTCTCTGTCACCTATTCTGACATTCTTTCTGGCATCCTTTCTGGCATCTATTCTGACATGTTCCCGGGCATTCTATCTGGCATTCTTTCTGATAATCTCTCTGTCACCTATTCTGACATTCTTTCTGGCATCCTTTCTGGCATCTATTCTGACATGTTCCCGGGCATTCTATCTGGCATTCTTTCTGATAATCTCTCTGTCACCTATTCTGACATTCTTTCTGGCATCTATTCTGGCATTCTTTCTGGCATCTATTCGGCATTCTATCTGACATTATATTATTTATATTATATTCTGGAAATCTATCATAATCTATCTAGCATCTATTCTGATATTCTATTCTGCCATTTTATCTGGCACTTGGCATCCTTGGCACCGATCTGGACGCGGATGAGGTCCGGCATCCACTGAGATCGCTTGCAGGACGTGGCAGGTGCGGGAAAACCACAACAGCAGTAACAGCAAGGCAGCAATACAATGGAGAACAAGAATAACAAAATGAACAGCAAGGATAATTAATCGAGAATATTCAATAGTGATGATTCTACATGATTTCCTGTCTGTAACATTGACCCACTTGGAGATGCGTCAAGTATCGTCAAACCTTCTGACAACCTGGCCGCTGCATGCAGATTTTCTGTGCCAACGCTCAAGTGGCACTGCCTTTTGTAAGCATTGCGAAAAATGAACTCATCGCAGTCAATTGAATTCGCACTCTAAAGAAATAGCCAAGCACAACATGGGTATGGGTCAAAACCTGGTACCCCTGGTGAACATCAAAATAGCTGGTAAATGGATGTTCATCCCACTAAAAATGTATCTATAGGTATTGACCCATACCCACATGGCAAATAGATTCAGCTACTTTCAGACAAGAAGAACAAGGCGTTAGTCAAAAACCAGAGACGTAGGACAGGAATGATGAGCACATATGGACAGCATATGTCAATGACACGGTGTCACCGTCTTCCCAACAAAATACTGAGCATGTTGACAGCCGATCTATGGCAGAAAACGGATAGTAGGTGAAGAAGTATAGGAAGAATGCAGACATTTAAATACATGACAGTGCAGTGGTAAGTGATTGCAGTGGACAACTTGTTGAATCTCAACGAATTGTTTTTGCATAGAATCACCTCATAGAAACCTGGGTCTGCAAAAAGCCAGTCTTTTCAGCCAATTTTGCTGTCTCTGTCCAAGTTTTTACATGAAACTTCACCCCTTCGATTGACTGCAACAGTGTATGCACACACAGTGTATGCACACACGTGCTACACGCTTGGCACACGGCACTTGAATACTTAAACATGCTGACTTGTGAGCGGCGGGGATTTGACAGCATATCATACCAAAAATCTCACTTTCAACATCTTTCAACATCGTTCAACGGCACATCTTTCAACATCAATCAACCACCGCTCAAAAAGTCGGATATTTCATAAATTTGAAACCGATGGGATGCTCTAGCGCACTCGACACCCTCGACAATGGTCCTAACTGGGCACAGATCCCAACGTCCGTTGCCGAGTTCTATCAGATAGCACCTTGCAACTGATTCACTTTTGAGAGACCGGTACATGGAAAACAGGCCTATCATGGGCTGTTGGTGAGATATTGCAAAAGGCTTGAACTACCTAGAGAACCTAAAACCTATAAAGATGACGGTTCTTGGGTAGAAACCATGTTTTCTCTTTAAACATGTTTCTTCAGAATGTTTTTTGTTTGCAATTCCCACCCATTTGAATCCATGCACACTATCGCACGTTGAGGTGCATAGCGTTTTCATGTCAGAAAATCATGGAAACAATTACCCTCTGGTTATTTAACATAGCCATGGGAAATGACCCATTTATAGATGGTTTACCTATTAAACATGGTGATTTTCCATGGCTTTGTTAAATAACCAGATGGTATACGTACTCTTGGGGAACGCTCACTGGGCTGGAAACGGTGGGAGTTTCTGGATGGAAGCAGTTTTTCAGAGGAGTGAAAAAAGGCTGGAGTGCAACTATATTCATGTCATGTCACAACATCATATATTAATATACTATTATATACTTTTATGTCAAACATCTAATATAAATGCAGGAGATCTTGTGAAATTTCGACATAGTCTCATGATTTGGATGCAAATATCTCATTATATCTCATCATTACAGTCAAAAGCAAGGAAAAATGACATGAATATATGATGTGACATAAAAGGAGGCTCTATGATATAATCCAGGGGATAAATGTATAATAATGTATATAGTTTTTTCTGGAAAACACACATGTTTTCCATGATTTTGCGAGGAAACCAGGTTTTTTTACTTCCGACCTACATTTTTAGAGGTTCTAGGTTCTTAAGGTATGGATTATATAATATATATTATTACGTAAATTACGTATGTGATTACATATGCCTGAATGGATCATCCAAGACACTAAAGCCACTGTGTGTTAAAAGATTATTAGATTTTGCCTGGGCTCCTGTTGTCCATGTTGACAACAAATTTCAGTTTGGTGATGTCTTCAGCAAAGGGTCACACAGAAAAAATCCTGCAAAAGTGACTAAGGGATGGCTACGCCTGAGCAGCAAAAAGAAAGTCTCCGGGCCTTCAAATGTGAGCGTCAAGCCTCAGTCAAAAATGAAACAGGTTTTTAAACGCATGCTATACTGTCCAGACCCTCAAAACATATCAGTCAGGTGTCATGAACATTTAGACTGGATGATGCCCAATGCCATGTTATAATTATGAGCGACATGATGGTCTATCAAATACTTGATGTGTAATTGCTGTGGACTTCTGCTTCGGAAACTATGCCTCGGCAACCAAGCACAGTAAACTATGCTTCGGCAAGCATGCTTCTGAAACCATGCTTCCGAAACTATGTCTGGGCAACCATGTTTTGGCAACTAGGAAGATGAAACTATGCTGTCGGAAACGAAGGAGATTATCGGCAACCAGGAAAACAAATCAAACTACATGGAAATGAATGTCACACCCCGTGCTCAGCCACTACTAGTGCATGTAGGGCTTTAGGGAGGTTTAAATGACTTGGAATCGCCATCAGAACTCTTAGAAGGACAAAGATGATAATTGAGGAATGCCATTGGATGTAGGGCTTTGGGGAGGGAATGTTTAAAAATGACTTGAAATCGTGATAAGAACTCTTGGAAAGGCAAGGCTGTAAAGTGAGGACTACTATTGCATGTAGGGCTTTGGGGGGGAGGTTTAAAAAATAACCTGGAGTCGTGACAAAAACGCTTGGAAAGGCAAGGCTGCAACTGAGGACTACTATTGCATGTAGGGCTTTGGGGGGAGGTTTAAAAAATAAGTTTGAATCCTGACAAGAACTCTTCGAATGGCAAGGCTGTGATGTGAGGACTAGCATTGCATGTAGGGCTTTGGGGGGAAGGTTTAAAAAGTGGAATCAAGTACAATGCTGTTTTGGTTGCAGAGCGGTAGTTGCAAGCCTTGGTTGCTGAAGCGAACTGGATTGTGGTTGCTGAGCCGTGGTTGCGGAAGCGAAAGCAGTGTTGGTTGCTGAGCCGTATTTGCTTAGCCGTGGTTGCTGAAGCGAAACAAGGATTGGTTGCTGAACCGTTCCAAAAAAAAGAAAACACAGCGAATACATGCCCAAGAATACCGCTAAGATCCAATGCCTACAGGCCACCTCATAGTCAGTAAAATGCAACTTTTACATGATGTAAAATGATGTAAAACTTAAAACATTGTCCCAAGGCGCCAACCTTTGCTTCGAGCTTGACGAACGCCTGCAAATGGTCATGCATTTTCATGGGCACCAATGGCACCACGAAAAACGAAAAATGGCATGTCCCAGGGTCCCAGGCCAGCAGCTGAACACTTTCGAACCGCTGCACTTGATTCGTCTCATGTGCTGATCTTGTTGATCAAAGAGGTACAGCTGGCTTCCAATTCTTCAAAGAGGTACCGAGGAGTCAGCGCCTGTCATCCTGTCATCGTTGAGTCTTTAATAGCAAGGCAAATTTGGAGGGTAACCTATGCACTTGGACTGCCTCACACAAATGCTTGGAATTGGAGTTTGAGCACTTGGTGCATTTCAAATGCCGTAGCTCAAGCTAGTTTCAAATATTCCAGCAGAACGGCTTATGCTGCAGGACAGAATATCACCCGACCCTGGCTGTTGCAGGTGGCTGCCGGAGATCTCAAACCACCGTGGTCATGTTTTCGACGCCTACAGTAGATAACATCTGTGCGGCTCTGTTCTGGACTCAGATTCTTCATGATTCTTCATGATTCTTCCACCAGCTCTCTGAAAAGGGGCAATCCGGATGAATCGAGCTGATAAACCCTAATCACTTACAGTAGATCTGGAAAAAGGAAACCTCCAAGATTCTGAACTAAATTATCCAATCAACTCCAAACCTGTCTATTACGGTCCACTACTGTGGTTGCTTCCGAGACTCTGAAGGAGCCATCTGGCACGACGAGGCCAATGAAAAGGCCACCCATCACAGGTCGTGCCCGGAAGCCCCTGAAGCTGAAGCCGCATCAAAATCGACTCTGAAACCATGAGAAAACAAGTCCTTGATGGATCTTTGTCAATTGTCACAAAATATCACACACAAACCGTGTACACCTTTGACTCAGCCATTGCACTTGTGCTTACTTGCGTGCCTACTTATACATAGACCCTAGTATTCGGCGTGGTACACAAACACATGAAGCCTCTTCATTCCCAAATGTTTTCTGTCGACTGCACGTGCTCAATTTTGAACTGGGATGAATGCAGTCGAGTCCAAGATAATCCAAGAGGCTGTTGCTTGCCCGTCTTGGTATCAAACCAATCCTGGACAAATCAATCCAGTCTGTTTAATGTTGGATGCTGATTAGCGGCTAGGTTTGGTATTAGTGGGCCTCACACTAATCAGGAACCAACATTAACAGTGAAATGGGTATAATGGGATGAACATCCATTTACCAGCTATTTTGATGTTCACCAGGGAATGACACTATCCAGTGAAATGAGCTTAGCTCATCCGATTCGAAGAGGTCGAACTTGTTGCGGCGACTGGCTGAAATTCAAGGCCGCAAAAGGCCGCAAAAGAAACACCGAAAGCCGAAAGGTAAAACAAACTCCAAACAACGTGAAATAACGTGAAATAACGTGAATAATTCTACAAATCTCTAGAGTCAAGTATAAACTGCAACTTCATACAAATACTTCGTTGACACTGGTTGTGGTACCAGTACTTCTCCCATGGTCCGACGGCTTTTCTTGGCATGCAACGAAGGCACATGAGATGGGCACCTGAGATGGGCTTGATAAACATCAAGGTTCAACCAAGTGGCCGTGAATGGCACCCGATCTGACGTCGAGGAAGCAAAGTGCCACAGGTCACGCACAGCTGCTTGAAAGTGAGCCTAACGGGGCCAGAATGACGGCTGGTTTCTAGTCGTAAAAAAACAAAAACAATCCTCTATACTGAGTTGACAAATGTTGACGCTCTACTAGAATTCCTTTTTTCAAGGACTATGGGGAAAACAAAGCCAAGAGGTATTTGGAAAGTGTCGCCAGACACCGCCAGACCCTTGAGCTGTGGACATTGGATGACTGACTTCGGTGCTTCAATAGATCACCCTCAAAGTTGCAAAGGCGTGTGCTATGGGTGGACTCTATTGCTTCACTTCATCCTCACTCCAGCCCGCGTGATCCCGCGTGCCAGTGAATGGCATCCTGCCCGTGAGATCTACACAGGAATTGGTTGAACGAGCTGTTTGTTTCGAACTGCTTTGATCATAAACCAATTCTTCAGTGGCTTCCCTTGTCGACGCCTTAGTACCAAAGGCCGCAGACCAAATGGACCAGTCAGCCTTGGTGTACTGATGACCTTAGCATTCATCAGATCCATCATGGAGTGTTTGTTTTTCAAAGGTCCTTCAGGGCAATCAATTCTGCTGACCTCTGGTGATCATACAGGCCTTTCAGTGTGAGGATTTGACCTGCAAACCCATCCTCGTTGTAGATTCGATGGAAAGGCAGAAAAGGAATAGCGACTGTACCCACAGAAAAAAAGTTTACATACTGAAGACATTCATGGCAAAAGTAGAACAAAGAATGTGACAGATTGACTCTGAGTCTCATTTGGGAATCCCCGTTCAACCAAACCTGACGAATTAAAATTATTGCGACCAGTCAGACTGACATGGACTGATGCCTCAGTTTGGAGGCTTAGTCGTGCAGTCAAGGGTCGGTCATCAAGTGGAATACCAAATTCGTTTCCTCATCAACCATCGTTGGTGACTGGGCCGAGCCCTCAAACACTTAGCATTCAAACTTGCCAGCGTTCGCATTGTTCCTCTTGGCCCCAACGTCTTGTGAATTCTGAAGAATGACCGAGATATACCGAGATACTGTGTCGTTCATATTCTGCTGTCTCTTGCTCAAAGACCTTACTCGACGAAGTAAACATGCCGCACGGTTGAGGTGTCTCAAAGTTGGCAGATGGTGGACACCCGAATTTCAGCCCTGCATGGTTTCGGTGTCTCAGCACCATGCCAAAAAAAGGTTCCACAAAACACACAATGCACAACAAACCAACACAAACAATGTAACAATCTGACTGCTTTGGGAATTTCACACTCTGTGCTGAGTGTTGCACAGATTCTGGGAATAAACCTCAGTAGACAAGAAGTTCTTGTCGTCGAGTCATACAGTCATACGTTACTTGTAGAGATTCAATCAAAGAGATTTCGTATTTTCTTCCAGAATACCCGCACGGCCCATGCTTGACAAACTCACACATCAAACTGTTGTTGAAACAACGTGGGATGCAGCCCATGAGCATTGCTTCAAGCTATAAATATCTGCCAATTGTGGTACACTGGTACAAGTGGTTTATTTGCAAAGAACTTGTTTGCAAACCCAGCAATCTGATGTTATGCCCCAGGGTTTCGGTTATCGAGAAAGTTGGCAAGTTATTTAAGTTCAGGGCGAGCCGCACCATAGTACCTGCTGAAGCATGCTGAAGCTAAGTCAAGGCGCTCAAGCCCAAAACCTTCTGCCAAATCAGGTTGTACTTCCTGAGACTGAGTACGCTGAGAGTATCGGATACATCGACTGTTCACTAGTGAGATGATGGCCTGCTGTTGCAACTGCCCTCGTGCTTGAAGGCGCCGCATCGGCTGCAAACGGGAAGAGACGACAGACCCGAAAGATATTGATAAACACATAATCAAATCATATCAAATCAATCAAAAGCAGCACTTCACAGTTTCTGATGTTTCTGATGTTTCTGGAAAGATCTGGAAAGCAAGTTCTACGATACATCTCATGATACATCTAGCCTTGGGCAAGTTCATTCCGCGCACAGCGGAAAGGAGGCCAGGCATCTGTGACCAGGTCCATGGCAAGTTGTACTGGCGACGGAAGTGGTCACCCCGTTCTTTCCATCCTCACGAGACAACGGCAGCTGAGTATTTGCTCTTATGATTATGGTCCATTATGGTCCTGTGGTCGGCTACTACTTGGGAGCACAAAATAAACAAGTTGCACAAAGCCAACAAGTATGTAGCTTCGGTGGATCGAGGAACTAACCAACCATCAGGGAAATTGAGAAGAGATCAATGGGTCTGTGAGAGTACAATTTCACCTCATCATGGACACTCATTCAGGATTCAGGCAAGCAGAGATTGCATTCTTCACTGCTGCGTTCATGACAATCAAATACATCGAGCTTCTCAAGGTGCAAGGCTACTTTCTAGACATCCCCATACCTAGCAGGACTTGGCACCATGTCATGCTGCTCCAAGTCGCCACTCTTGGCCATCTCCACCCATTTCTTCGCGAAGCCCTCTGCCAAGCTACGAAACTTTTGGGCGGCTGGCACCTGGAGATGGCATCGCTGCCAAACAGAGTTGGACTTTCCAATAGAACGCATGGAACACATATAATTGTATATAACAGATATGATATCGTATGTAGATATAACACAGTATCTAGCATATATGTATATGTACGTAGTACATTATAATATAATATCTAACATATCTGTAATATATATATATATTATGAATATACATAGAACACTGGCTGGAACTGTGTCCATTATAGTTCCGCCACGTCCACCTGTCCAAGCCTGTCCATCCAGTTGCAGAAGCTCAGCATAGGCCCCCAGAGCAACGATGCCTTTGGCTGCCTGAGACCCACAACCGGTCTTCCAACAGTTTCAGATATATCAGATATATCCCATTAAACGGGGGTTTCATGAAAACTATAGATATATCAGATATATCCCATTAACTATACGACTATAAGATATCTGTTTGGTGGTGCAATGACCATCTGGAAAAATGATGGAGTTCGTCAATGGGTTTCGGATGACATCCCATATATGAAATGGAAAATAAAATTCCATGGTTTCAAACCACCAACCAGAAAAGTTGCCAAGATGCTTTGACACATCATGGTTACCTGGTTGGTGGTTGAGCCACCCCTATGAAAAATATTAGTCAGTTGGGATGATTTTTCCCAATATATGGAAAAATAAAAAGTTCCAAACCACCAACCAGTTACTGCTTGATATCAAGACTTATCCGCTTGAGACCATTGCAGTTAGAAAACATTGCCGCGCATCTGTTGTCAGATTTTACGACCAGGTTGAGGATTTTTATGATTTGTGTCACAAGTTGAACCCCAACAGTTTACTAAACAAACCATCCAACAAAACAGCTACCTGTCACAACCATGGGGACAGAAATGGGGATAGCTGGCGGCTCATCATCCAAGGCGCCAAGTTCACATTGTGTGGATTCGGCCCCTGCATTGTGCGGCGCTGCAACAAGCAGATCAGTAAGCAGATCTGTTCAAACTCGAGTACCGTTTCAGGCCAGCTAGAATCGTCATTTCTTGCCAGAAATCTGGAACAGTTTGGTGGGTCCCGGAAGGAAAGTATCCATGTCAGTCCTGTGACCAGAATCCAAAATGAGCCTCAATCAAATGATAGGTTTCACAAATAAGCAATTGAATTTAGATCTTTTAAGATCTCAGTCTACATTTGCATGTGTTAATCAATCCTGCAATTTTTTCGCGTGAATAGACCTTGATCCTACCGTGTCCCAGCTGTGGGGTCCTCAAAGTCATCAGTGCACAGCTGCTTCCCAGGATCCGGCAGGGACTGGGTCAGGAAGTCAGCCCAGGTAGATAGCACCGGCCAGTAACCTGGAATCCGTGACGCCAATCAGGAAGAGAGCTGGTCAAACAGCTAGTCGAGTCTTTGATCTATAGATATAATTGTAACTGATATAAATTGAATTAATTTGAATTAATTTGATATCACTATATCGATGTATAATATATATATATATATATTATGTTTTTTTATATGATTGTGGATGTGATAGTGCTGGAAAAATGTTAGATTCTATGGTGGCACCGAGTTTGCATAGCAAGAAACTGCATGAGTAATGGAGGACAAACGCGACTAGCGACAGATCTCGACAAAAGCACCAGTCCAAGCAACTTTTCAACCACGCCGTAGAATTGGGGCCTTGCTTCTGAGCAAGTGCAGCTAACATAATTAGCATGTTGCCACTCTCCTTCGCAACAAGCTGGGACGCTGCAACAAGCTGGGCATGGCATCATTATACTAGTCACTAGAGAGCGAATGTGAGGGACCACAAAGCTACCTGTTGGGCCAGTAGAAAAGTTTTCATCTGGTAGGTATAACAAGGGATACAACCTTCTGACAGACTACTTGTTTCAGGAAAGCTCGAAGAAATGCATTAGCGAAGCGGATGTTTTCGCAGTGGAAGCAAAAAGAGCACCTTCGGCTCCAAAAAGAGCACCTTCGGCAAGGATGAATTGCTGCAAACCAAACGTGGTTTTGGAACCACCGGCAGCACAACAGGTTCCAAACCAGCCTTGACGCATTTGAAACACAAGTGTGAGTATCAAGGTCGAACAGGTGTTGATCATGGTCGATCTATTGGGTCCTCAACGGGCATCTGCTCTTGCTTTTTGCTTGGCAAATCGCAAATTGGCCAAGCTCCCAAGTGGTGCGGCCTTAGCAGGTCATGTGATTGATGTGATAGCCCATATTCAATCATATTCGGACGGAACTCAGTGCTTTATGAAATCACATAAAAACAGTAATAAACAGTATCTATATAGCCTATATATAGCTGGTATCCCCACTCTACTTCTCTTGTGACAGGCACTTGATGAAGCTTCTGGTGGGTAGGCATCGGTGCCTGTTGAGAAGCTGAGGAGTCTGAGGAGATGACGCCCAAGGAAGGTCGTATTTCACATCCATTCCTGAAACATGTCATCAGTGGAGATGACCAGGAGATGACCAGTTCATCATTTTAGAAGCAACCGCGGTGAAGTCACGTGAAGTCCCTCACGTGTCGACAAAAAAGGCGGAAAGGGCTATGAACGTCAAGGGGTCAGTTGGCTCTTTGCAACCACGGGGCCATAGGCTGCAGTGCTATTGACAGAATAGACCATCCTTCAGTGAAACTTACACATCATTGACCTTGAAAAGCCTTGACCCTTCTGATTCAAGAAACGATCCTTATCCCTCCTTACACCACCAAGTTGCAAATATCAATCTGGGTAAATTATAATATTTCACCAACCTGAATTAAGGCCATTTAAGGATGATTTCCCTTATTAACCATGATTTCCAGTGAGGTCGCAGTGAGGTCGTTATAATTTAGCCAGATCAATGGAATGTTGCAACCCCAACGACTTCTCATTGTCGCCAAAGATTTCGCTGAAGATTGGTCTCATCCAACTCTCAGGGAAAAAAAACCGTCAGTTGGCCCTGTCTAGCTGTCTAGCTACCCTCTGGTAAACTAACATAGCTATGGAAAATCACCATTTTTTATGGGAAAAAACGCTACTGTATAAATGGCCATTTTCAATAGCTATGTTAAATTACCAGAGGGTATCATTTTGTCCCAAATCTGTCCCGGTCTCTGAGAAATAGCACAAGACATTAAAACATATTAAAACTATCGACCATGACATACAATGGCAAGTTGGTAAGGTGTTTCTTGATTGCCAGCCAAATCCTACGGTGGATACTGTGTGAAAACCAAACAACATAATGTTGCTTCACTTCACCGCTTGTTCTTGCTGATCCATGTCCACAAGTCAAAAATGCAGGGAAGACTAGGCATGGTCACACATGCGCCAACATGCCCCAACACTGCGTTCTTACTTAGTGAATGCTTCACTGCATCAAGAACAAACATCAACATCACAACTTGTCACTGCTCTGGGCATCTGGCAGGGGAATCAGCAGCTTCCGAAAGAATTCAGGCGCTGCATGCAGGAAGAGTGGGAAGGCCGGAAAGATCACCTATGACGAACCAGGTGAGTCTCAGAATCATGACTTGGGCAGCTGAGTCTGCTACACCCCAAAAGTGACATCCAAGTCTAATGTCCACCCCGGATTAAGAAACCCTGGTTGACTAATTAGCGAGGTTCCCCTCCAAATAGTGACAATGCCCCCACAATTAAACAGCCCATATTATATATATAAGTATATATGGTCCCGTCCTCCGTCTTTCCACCCCCCCCCATGGGTTGGGTCCCCAGGTAGTAGCCCCAATTCCCTTCTATTTGCAAGCTATTCTGAGTTGCTGAGTTTACAAGAGGGAAAAAGTGAACTCTTTTTTTTGGTTTTCCACCCCCCCCTTCATTTCTCAGCGTTTCTATGCTTTTCTGTTTTCGCCAAAGGTGAACACAGGTAATTCTCAGGCGCGGCTTCTCACATGAACTGCTACCGCCCTAACTGCCAGACATTCCCGGGAGCAAAATGGCACCAGTGTCAGCGGGCAAGATGGCAACAATGGCAATGAAATAAAAAAGTCAAAAAGAGCACCACCCGGTAACCCAGTATTGGCAGCATTTCTGAGGTCCAGCGTCGTATTTGCTAGGTCTTTGCAGCATTTCTGACTACCAGCCTCGCATTTACTAGGTACATGCTACCTTTTAGGCGACCTACGTAGCACACGTACTCCTTCAAAGTACCTACGTGCTACCTATAGTCATACATACATGTGCTATGTATCTACTGTATCTACTTCCTGTTTACTACCTGTGTACTTTGACAACACTACCTCTGTTGAACATATACCGTACCTACCATACATGTCAATGATGCCATGCATACCATACCTATCATATCTATCATACATACCATACATATGAAATGTAATTACCACACCTACCATACATACAATAGCAAGCATACAATAGCAAGCATACATGCCATACATACCATACCTACCTTAGATAGGACATATTCCATACCCATCATAGTAACCATACATACCATACAGACCATACATACTGTCATATCAAACATACCATATCCAACAGACTTACATACCATACCTACCATCCATACAATACCAACCACTCATGCCATACATACCATACCTACCATACATACCAAACATACCATACTTTCCAAACATGCCATACCAGACCGACCATACACACCATACATACCCACCATACCATACCACACCCCCACCACACCACAGGGGGGGGAGGGGGACAGTGCCACACCCCCACCACACCACAGGGGGGGGAGGGGGAAGATCTCATATGGGACCAGTATATGGGACCCATCCACCACACCACAGGGGGGGGAGGGGGACAGTGCCACACCCCCACCACACCACAGGGGGGGAGGGGGAAGATCTCATATGGGACCAGTATATGGGACCCATCCACCACACCACAGGGGGGGGAGGGGGACAGTGCCACACCCCCACCACACCACAGGGGGGGAGGGGGAAGATCTCATATGGGACCAGTATATGGGACCCATCCCATATGGGGGGGGGAGGGGGGGGGTGGCAGGGCCTGGTGCATATATACACATATATATTTGATCCAAGGTTGAAAGTTGACAGTAGGTACTAGTATTACAAGTAAGCGCCGTAAGTCACCCCAGGTTTGGTACTACCAGTCTCAAAGATTTTCCTCCCGTGACAACTCCAGAGAGGCCCCGTGCGCCAGGACGTCCCGGTGACCAAGCCGAACTGCGCCAAGGCGCGTCCACAGTTGAAACATCTCCGTCCGAAGAGATCTCCTGAAAGGTGCGAGCCCTAAGACTGTATCCCAAACCAAGAAAAGGATCACAGATTGCCCTGGAGACATGGCGTTCTCACAAGTCTGAAAATCTCAGGGACGAAGACTGGTATGTAATGGTGCTGGATTTTCATGGATTTTCCATCTCAACTTGTAACAGAGCGTAACAGAGCGTAACATCATAGCTGCCATCTGCGGCCTTCATAAAAGGCCAGGCTTCACCTGATCCCAGGATCTCCCAGGATCTCCCAGGCCCCCTTTGCCGGCCAGGCTAAAAACGAAGACAAGACCTACTTGACATATCTTGACATTGCTATGCACTGTGGCACTATTATGATCCATTATGCACTTATACAGTGCTTATGAAAACAATTGTTAAATGGCCAACTGAGACTTTTCCGTATTTACCGAGGGCAGCTCGATCTTGCCATGTTGCTGCAAAGTCTATAGGCTTTCATTATGTATATTATGTTAAGTCATCAGTGACTAATTGGTGGTTTAATTGGTGGTGTTCGAGCACAAGCTTCCACCTTGGGTCCCGCAACCAGCCTGTTTGGTTGTTCCAAGCTGTGGAAGTGGCTCCCATAACCTGCAACAAATATATGGAGATCATCATATGGCAGTGTGTCAAAACCCTGTACCCCTGGTGAACATCAAAATAGCTGGGATTTATGGATGTTCATCCCACTAAAAATGGTATTAATAGGTATTGATCCACTGCCATATCTGGAATCTCTACAGTAAGCTCTTGGTCCGCGTCAGTCACGCTGCAAAACTTGTATGCCAGCCAACAGGCTGATGGCTAAGACAAACAAAACAAGTATAGCCGGTGCAACAGGGCAATACCCAGGAAGATCAGGAAGTACAATCAGCAGGAAAAAAAATAGTGGCATGCCTTGAGAATGCACCTTGCATGCACTTTTCACCCATCTATGACTTCCAACGGCAGGAACAGAGAAAGATGGAGAAGCAACCATCACCTGCCGAATCTCTTGGATAGCAATATTTTATAGAAAATGATACCAATTCCCATAGGATCCATGTATGCTATATATGGTAACATGCATCCCATCAATATACCCCATTCATGTTAGCATATATATATATACCAGCACCATGGATCCTATGGGATTTCAGCACCCGTCCACATCAAAATCATCAAACAGGTCTCACCAAAGCTCGCAGAATCCATCGCCTGACGATACACCAGCGCCCCAATGTCGGCATACTGCTGCCCGAAGCGCGAGAGCTGTGTAATCAGTTGCTGGTCAAAGGCCTGAGGAAAAAAACAAGGTGAGAATTGCGCCAGAAAAACTGTAGCATGTTACAGTCGATCATGTTGGAATGCGAGGTCCCTCTTGAGTAAAGTGACCAAGGCGACCAAGGTGTTTGATGTTGGTAAAATCCGACAGTGTAGTCGCTTGCGAGTCATCTCTTAACTGAAATTAAGTTTCCTGGACTCTTGGAGCGAGGAGATCATTAGGAGATATACAGGATTCGAGCTGGGATGGGTACAATAATAATTCCAGAGGCATGTATTCATTCGATTCGATGATTTTCCAATTTGTATTCTATTCGTGCATTAATTAAAGATGTTTCCCTGGGCCTGGGAAAAAAAAAACAATTTGTGGGTCCGCCAGCGGTGCGCCATTTTTGGTCAGCGCTGAAACCGGAACCGAACCCTGGAAGCCTGGAAGCCTGGAACCCTGCCACCTGCTGTTGGGTTGCAGAACTGGGTTATAGTTACAATTCTGATTCTCACATCAGTTCAATGAGGTTACCCAAACATGTCAAACGTGACATGACATAAATATATCATAAATTTGCAATATTTCATTATTGATGACATATATATATATTATATATATATGAAATGAAATGAAATGAAAGGATCTGATATCCACGATGATATAATATGACATAAACCGATGATATAATACAGTATGACAATGTATGACATAAATTGATACAAAATGCACCCAGAGCCGCTGAGCGAACCGCCTCGCCTGGGCCTGCCGCCATCGGCTCTCCGCCTCCTCTTCCGCAGCCTCCAAGGCTCTGATGGCGGCGCCGTGGCGGCGCCACAAAGGCATCAGCTCGGTGCCGAAGAAACGCTGCGCAACGACCTGGGGCAAGGTCGGATGGGGAGCCGGGCAACTGAACAATAGCAATCGATGTGATTTATTGATATTTATCGAAGGAAGTTTAGAAGTCAAACTTCTGGAAAAGCAGAGGTGGGAAGAGTCAGAAAAGAGAAAGGCAAAAGAAAGAAGCTCAGAGAAGAGAAAGAATCAGAAGAAAGAAGATGCAGGTGCGCAAAAAACTAGGAAAGTCGCGAAACATCGTGTTTTTTCCAATGTTTTGTGGCTCCGGCAGGTGCGGAGCCATCTGGGCATGAAGAATTGCACACCAGCGTGGCGCGAAGCAGATTTGGAAGTCAAAATGCTACAAACACCTCAGCCTCGGAACGCCCTTTGGGCCTAGATGTCGAAAAAGTGCACACCCCTGTGGCGCCAAGCGCATTTCCAAATCAAAATGGGCAAAGCACACCATTCTCGGAGCACTTTTGGAAGTTGAGATCTCCAAAACGCGCACGCTGTTGTGGCGCAAAGCACATTTCGAAGTAAACATATGCGCAAGACACACCATGTTGAGATGTTCAAAGAGTGGCGCGAAGCACATTTCGAAGTCAAAATGTAACAAACACACACCACGCACGGACCACTCTGGACCTTGAGATGTTCAAAAAAGTGCACGCCCTTGTGGCGCTAAACTGCACTACACCACTACACTACACTACACTACACTAATTACACCACACCACACCACACCACACTACACCGACACCTACTCCGTGTACGCCTACAACTGCAACTGCAACTACAACTACACTACATTACACTAGGCTCTGACTACACTACGCAACACTACATTACACTACACTACATTAGACTACAGTACACTACACTACAACTACAACTACCACTACAACTACACCTACACCTACAACTACAACTATACTACACCACGCCACACTACACTAGACTACACTGCACTACAACTACAACTATAACTACAGAAACAACTACAGCTACGGCCAGCACTTATGCCCAAAACTCTTTCGGGATGATTGTCGCAACCCTCAGTTTTGGTGACCTTTACAGTACTTTGTGGCCTTCCACTATGTTGGGATGTTATAACTTGATGGCTCTGGGTTTGCGAACTCAGAAACGTTTTTGATGACTGTCTGAGCGGATTCGGCTGTCTGGCAATGTTGGTTTTCGCCGCTTTTACATAAACCCTTGAACAAACTAGAAAAACCAGAGACAAAAACCTAAGTTAACCCTAAAGAAACCCCAAATGAACCCTAAAAAACTCACAGAAATCCTGAAAAAACCGTATGAAAGTGTACGTATATATAGTGAAGTATCTGCAGGGCGTAGCGCGCGTGCTGCGGGTAGTACAACAACAACAATAACAACAACAACAACAACAACAACAACAACCACAAACACAACCACAACCACAACCACAACATCACAACCACAACCACAACAATCACAACCACAACCACAGCATCACAACCACAACCACAACCACAACAATCACAACCACAACCACAACAATCACAACCACAACCACAACAATCACAACCACAACCACAACCACAACAATCACAACCACAACCACAACAATCACAACCACAACCACAACAATCACAACTACAACCACAACAACCACAACAATCACAACCACAACCACAACAGTCACAACCACAACCACAACAGTCACAACAGTCACAACCACAACAATCACAACCACAACCACAAACAAAGCACACACCAGCAACCACAACAACCCACAAACAAGCACAACCACAACCACAATCAAT